CACCCGCTGGTCCGGGTTACCCATCCCCAGTGACATTATCGTCCTTGTCCCATGTTTCCGCTTTTCGCTATTTCATCCGTTCAGATTCTGCGCGATCTCATTTTCGTGTTACCACATTTGGATTGTTTGTCTTTCCTCTGCATTCGGTCGACTTATCAAAGACCAGCTTACGTTCCGCTTATTGTGAAGTGATATTAATCTTCAAATACAACGCTCACTTGCAAAGTAATTTGTTTTTTAGCGAGAAACTCAACTGAATACCAGCAGAATATCTGTTTTATGATATTCTTCAGCAACCTTTTGAGTAATGTGCTCCATCAAGAAACTGTTTTTCTCCTCCATAAGTACTACTTACGAAGCCGATGAGAACTCTGGCTAGTCCACTATCGTTTTGCCATCCTGATCGAATTATCAGACATGCATAGTCTCGCATGTCCGGAATCGAATGCCTTATTTAAAATCAGGGGAATAACAGAGGCGCCGACCAAATGGAGAATCAACCCGTCCAAGTGTTGTACGCTTGGGTATGAAACCCAAACAAAACAGCCAGATTGGAATATACATTATAGCACTATCAACCACGTGAAGGGTGGAAGAGAGCCAGAGGCAGTCAAACAATGACTTGGCAGCGACGTATGAAAGCCATAACCAGCAAACGCAGGTGCGCTGGTCACTGCCGTCTTCCTGAATGGGGACCCGAGACGGGCCACATCAATGGCGCTTGTGCATCTAAGTTATTGCTTTCAATGCATAGCTCCTTTTCCTCCCCCCCCATTTGATAGCCCACTGACAGTGCTGGATTTATGCACCAATTTATCATCTCCCACCTGCAATGCGCAGCTACCTCCCCCTCAAATCATGGGTGAGCGAAACTGCGGCACCTACAACCACTGTACGACGAGTACGCGGTTACCACAGATGACAATGATGGCGATTATGATGATGACCAATCTTTTTTCACCGTTACGTCGCTAAATCGAGTTCGGCGGTTACGTATTCCGATCAGTATACTTTCCTAAAATTTACAAGAACGTCACTTTCATTAACCATCGCAAAAACTACAAAGTGAAAAGCCTTCGGGGCAAAATTATAGGGCTACCCTATGTTGCTATCTCGTCAATGATGCTTTCCAGCTTTTTCCACCTCAAGACCCATCAAATTCCTAATGAGTGTATGGACGGATTTTTGGCTGACACTTATTTCCGCCTTCGCAGCAGCTATCAATTCAGAAGGTCATAGAAATTTGCACCTCTGTACACTCGATGGAAGTCAAGGCCAAACGTTAGCTAGTTCAACAACTTCACAATAGGGGACAGACGCCAACCGTGGACCATGTGAGAGGCGTGAAATGCCGCGTTGTTCACTTCAGGTTTCCCATCCTGTATATTTTGCAGTATTAGATATTCTAATGTCAGGAACCGCGTGTCACAGCCTTAGTAACTGGTCAGTTCATAAAGCAACCCTACCTTGCTGCTGTTTGTTTACAAGTATCATGCATGCCGTACTCTCATATCCGACTCATCGATATTGAGGTTACAGTGATCAAGTGCATTCTCCGATCTTAGTTCTGGATTCTTACCAGTCTGTTCGTTTTGCGAATGCTGACAGTGACCACTACTGTGTCAGATGTGAACTGGAAACCTTCTTCGTGCGCAAGTCAGTAGTGCTAAATGAGAGTTGGATACGCACACCGAGATGCTGCAGTAGTTAATATTGCCACTTGTTGTCTCAAATCATCTAGAGGGATTCCTGTCCTCCATTTCAAAGGTGTTGGATTGAGGTCCCTTAGAGTGTACTAGCCCGGCGATTGTACAAGGGCGCAAACACCCCTAGACTGGATCAAACGTTTATCTGTACATCTGTTCTAAGTATGACGCTGCGGCTTTTTAAACGTTTTGAAACGGACGAGGCTGGGGATGTCATCCATGTCCCACAATGAGCCAGCACCATAGGGTTTTCCCATCCTTCTGTCGCGCCGTTTTTCTGCACTTGTGGTGTTTCGATCGAAGTTGTGTTATGGGACTGGTCTCTTTTGAAGTTTGTCACTTACTGATTTGAAGCCATTCTATCCATAGCGATCGCAACAATGGTGGAGAATTTACGTGTCTCCTTAATTTTGTCGTCGGGTTTGTATAGTTACATTAGCAGCAGCTCGAAGATTTGTACTGGTATGACGTTGTATACTGCTCACGAAGGATGCGAGTGGTCTATGGTCTGGTGTTTAAGCTCCGCCACCGTATCTGATGAGAGCTGAAAGTTATCACGGAAATTATTGGGCCACTTTACAGTGTCCGTTCATTATTGCCTAATATTCACTGACCACCTTGGAAAGTTCAAGAGCACACTTGAGAATGTTCACTTTTCAAAAACTCTGCTGATAAGATGTTTGCCTCCGTGTATTATGGCTTGTAACCGCTTAGTTCCTTTTCGCTAATAAACGACTTCGCAGCGAAGGACGTTACTCCTTTCAAAGGTGTTTTGCTGTCGTGCAGCTGGAAGTCTAGATCCTTCCAAACTACAGTGATACGAATGTAACTTCAACTGCAGTCTCAAGGGTGTTTCGCCGTCGTACAGCTGGAAGTCAATTCGAAAACCCTGCTGCAGGAAAAAGACTAAGGAATTTTTACAGGTCCATATCCTTCCAAATTCCAGTGATACGAATGTAACTTCAACTGCAGTTCCCACGTAATTCCACTCGCAGCATATGTCTTCATTTGTAGTGCGCGCAAATTCTGTTAGTAAACCACGGCACATTAACTTTATCAGCTGTTTCGATTGGTGCTAATCGAGGACGCACCAAGTATGCTTGAATACGCAACCGAGAAAAATGGTGTTCACTTTTAGCTTCGGAACAAGGAACAGTGTAAGCAGTGACTATTTGTTCAGAATACTGATTAAAACGACGGTGCTTCGTAGCTGCGGATAACGAGTATAAGCAATGCTTGCGTAGTTCCGTGGGGGGAATACTACCGTTGTCTCAAGAATAGTGATGTTTAATCAAAGGTTCAGTGCACATGTGGTCTCAGAAGTGGTTAGTTAGTACAGAATAGGGGCACCGCTTAAGATGGATTACGAACACAAGGCTATTGATGTCGAAAAGGTTTGGAATTGGTACAGGGTGCATAAGCAAATACATTCCTTGCTTGAGATATCGGTCTACGAATAAATGAAGTGGAAATTTTTAGAGTCAGCATGAACTTCGTTTTAGCATGTCATCTTCTAGATAAAATCAGCTGTATGATGCGGCGCAATAAGCATTGTCAAGGTACGAAGCGATGTGACAAAGGACGCATCAACTAACATACTGCATCCCCTCACCAATTACTAAATACAGTGCAGGGAAAACTCAGCAGAATCAGGCTGTTTTTTTAGTAACAATGCAACAATGACAGAATTGCTGATTCGTTTATTGTTAGAATCTGACTGGCTGAACAGGTGAGGTTATTATTTGGCGAGTAAATATACCCAGGATCATCTGGCCTAAAGAAGCTGCACTAAATTACACACGACATCACATATACGGGGTTGAATGTGAGCCATATTGGTATTGATAGAACGAATTTGTGCGGCAGAGACATATTATAGGCCTTAGCTAATGGCGTGTGCTAATTAGAAGTCATGAGATGACTTATCTTTCTAGCCCTGAAACACAGTGTGGATGAACCCGATACGAAATAGTTTCCGGACCGGAAAATTGTCACGTAGATCGTTCAAATAGGTAACAGGATGTAGAAGAAACTAAGGGAGTGGATGATATGCGTCGGTTGACATAAACATCGCATTATCGCACATTGATACAGATCGTCGTAGATTCGTTTTGTTTTGTCTTCACTAGTCTATTGATTATGCGCCAATCACTGCTGTCTTCGCACTTGAGCCAAATTCTTCGGTTGTTGAAGTTAAAGTCCTGCCAGTTACCATATCAGTTGTCCAGCCATCGCAAGCAAGTAAAATTATTATCATTCGACATGACTTGCTGCCTGAGGCTACTTGTCGGGACGCTTTGGCTACTACGAGCTCGAGATAGCTCAGTGGTTAAGGCGTGAAATTACTGTCAGGAAGGCCCGTGGGGCAAACCCGACCCCTCGGCTTCTCCTGTCTAGGCTTGGGCAACCTGGCACTATCTTGGCCCTCGTGCCTGCTTCGGGTGGCGTGGCAGCTAGGCACGGAAACGGCGTTACAGCAGAACCGCTTTTAATAGGCCATTGCATACAACTATATGGACAAAATAATCTCTGATACTACTGATGCCTCCCATCATACTATATTAGTTACCCTTGTGTTCTCTTCCGCCCCGTCCAGTCAAACATAAATAACTGAAGATTCCTTCTGCCTCACGACTCGCCAGATATGACTGTTCTGTTATTCCGAATCACCTTTTTCTGACAGATTCACGGAAACACTGTTATTTATGCACAAAGGCGATAAATCAATGTCACACAAAGAATGGTATGGTTTGTCTTCGTCCTAGTGACGTCAGTCAACCGCATTGGNGTAGGGAAACCTCAGCAGAAACAGGCTGTTTTAGTAACGAATGCAACAATGACAGAATTACTGATTCGTTTATTGTTTGAATCTGACTGGCTGAACAACTGAGGCTATCATTTGGCGAATAAATATACCCAGGATTATCTGGTCGAAAGAAGCTGAACTAAATTACACACGATATCACATATGCGGGGTTGAATGTGAGTCACATTGGTATTGATAGAACGAATTTGTGTGGCAGAGACATATTATAGGCCTTAGCTAATGGCGTGTGCTAATTAGAAGTCATGAGATGACTTATCTTTCTAGCCCTGAAACACAGTGTGGATGAACCCGATACGAAATAGTTTCCGGACCGGAAAATTGTCACGTAGATCGTTCAAATAGGTAACAGGATGTAGAAGAAACTAAGGGAGTGGATGATATGCGTCGGTTGACATAAACATCGCATTATCGCACATTGATACAGATCGTCGTAGATTCGTTTTGTTTTGTCTTCACTAGTCTATTGATTATGCGCCAATCACTGCTGTCTTCGCACTTGAGCCAAATTCTTCGGTTGTTGAAGTTAAAGTCCTGCCAGTTACCATATCAGTTGTCCAGCCATCGCAAGCAAGTAAAATTATTATCATTCGACATGACTTGCTGCCTGAGGCTACTTGTCGGGACGCTTTGGCTACTACGAGCTCGAGATAGCTCAGTGGTTAAGGCGTGAAATTACTGTCAGGAAGGCCCGTGGGGCAAACCCGACCCCTCGGCTTCTCCTGTCTAGGCTTGGGCAACCTGGCACTATCTTGGCCCTCGTGCCTGCTTCGGGTGGCGTGGCAGCTAGGCACGGAAACGGCGTTACAGCAGAACCGCTTTTAATAGGCCATTGCATACAACTATATGGACAAAATAATCTCTGATACTACTGATGCCTCCCATCATACTATATTAGTTACCCTTGTGTTCTCTTCCGCCCCGTCCAGTCAAACATAAATAACTGAAGATTCCTTCTGCCTCACGACTCGCCAGATATGACTGTTCTGTTATTCCGAATCACCTTTTTCTGACAGATTCACGGAAACACTGTTATTTATGCACAAAGGCGATAAATCAATGTCACACAAAGAATGGTATGGTTTGTCTTCGTCCTAGTGACGTCAGTCAACCGCATTGGAATGTCGCTTCACCAATCTGCATAACTTGTTCGTACTGTTACTTCGGCCAATTTTACGATATACAATAAAAGCAGAATGTATCGGTCGATCGCTGTGCGTAATCAACCTATCCTTTTTTGGTGAAAGAAACCTGAGAAGGCACAGTGGCTTTTACACTGTTATTAATAGTGTAAAGCTCAGTGTGATTTCTTTCACCACTCTTCAGCAGAATCAGACGAACAATGAGAGTCATTCAGCCCTGTCACCCGAAAGAAACATGAGGGATATGATAGCGCCAAATCGTCAAGCCTAAACAAGAGCCGGGGTTGATTTAGAATCACGAACTTTCTGGTCAGAAAGTTCGTCAGGTTTGGTACTAATGTATTCTATCGTGTCTTCCAGAATGGCATTACGGGTCACAAAAGGCATCGCAGAACGGGTGAGTGTGGACCCAATAATTGATCAGAGGAATATGCCAATCCGGTCGGTCTTCAGAACTGGTTCTTCTTTACAAGTATCTACTGCTGCTGGAAGGTTGTTCACCATGACGCGCGTGAAAACTGAATGCAACGCAGGCCTACTTGCTAAAGAGATTAGAGGAGGCGCCTCGGCGCTATTCATATGACTGGCTGATTTAACTCATTAGAAACTTTTCACGCTTTTTGACGTTTCAACAATACATTTTTTAATTAACTGTTCTAATTTAAGTGCTTAAATCCCACTCCGAACTCACGTAACATCTTCCTCCTTAGCGAAATACACTCATTTGCTTACCAATTTAGTCTTCACCGGAGACTCGCCTGATCTCTCGTTTATGAAACTAAATATGAACGTACTAGATCCATCGAAGCTTGGAGACTGCGTCTGCCTGATGAGTTTCAAGATAGATGAAACCACCCGTGGGCTGCCGAAATTTTCAGCAACCTTATGAATAGTGTATTACGTCTACACAGTGTATTGCGATACAGGCGTGCCGCACCAAGTTGGGCGGCCTGGTTCATCACATTCAGTTGGAGAAGAACATCGTAAACGAGAATTTTAGCTGGGTTCTAAGTGGGTCTTCCGTAAAAACCAAAATGGCAGGCGAATAAGTGCATTTCGCTAATTTCGTGCAATTTGGGTTCAAGTAGAATGTGACGTTAAGGGAAGCTCGGAAACTGAGTCTACCTGATGTGCGCCGATCATGGGCTGTCAGATTTTTCAGCAAATGTATGAGTAGTGTGTTTCGTATACTCCTCTTTCTTTTCAAGTGACATCATATCAGAAAAATGCTTGCATGAAATTTTGGCTTCATCGTATAACTTGTTGACATGAGATGTTGAAGCATCCATTCGAAGTTTCTCGCTGCAAGCGAAGTCCGTTTATACTAAGATGCGCTACACAACTGTTTAATTTTTGATCGAAATCATCATGGATATTGTGAATCTCACGAATCCCCAGAAGTGGGCTCGAACTCGCTGTTGATCCTTTTACTTTTGTTGTGTGCAACGGGATTCCTTGTCTTGTCATCATAGTTCTGTGCCCAGATTATCCTTCATCCCGAGTCTATACCGATACGGCTACGTGGATATTTATAGTGAAATAATTGTAAAAGACGACCCTTTGTAACAGCCTCTCTGACTGTAATGTTCATCACTAGGAGTGGACCAGTTTCAGTTGGTCCTGAATGTGAGCCGCTTTTAGACCTCATCATCACGCGCCTGGTTTAACACAACCACCTGGGCTTTTTACATCTTGCGGCCACTTTGTTTTGACTCAGTGTGAAATTCTACTAGGCGTATTGTTCCCCACCTACCTTACTTGTACAGGATCCCATCTGGAATCAGCGTCACCTGACCATGGAAACTGGATTCACCACACGATTTAAGGTTTGCACCATTTGATCATCCTATACTCATAGTGCCGCATGTGCTGATAAACCTCCGTCTGAACGGTTCGACTTTTGGAGTTTTGCGCGTGTGGCCCACCTGATTACTGAGAGCAATCCATGCGCGCAACCTTCCGACTAGTAGCTAAAGACTAGAACGTTCGGCCATGAGTTGCTGATTGGTGGTGTGACTAATTTTCAAGTCATAGCGCCACTCATCCCTCGATCACGGAATTGACCTCAGCACCTAGCCATTAGTGATGCCAGCCAGGGAGGCAATCTATCTTCTCCCAGTTACTGGCTTTAGGCTATCTCACAAATGCCTTACCGCTAGTGACAATCCCTAAAAAGCCCCACATACGACTCCCTATTTACCCTAGACAGCCAGAGTGGA